GAAATCCATTTTGGTCTTTATACAAAACCTAGGATATGATGGGTTAACTGGCTAATAATTGTACAAATAAAGTACAGAAGACAAAATAAGTATCAGTTATGGAACAATCTTTATTTCTATTCTGCATCTTTCCAAATAAACTTGATATTGAAAAATCTAGTAAATCGCTATGGACTGATGAAAAACCATCCTCGACACTTTGCTACCATCCAGTAAAATTTTAATATGTAAAAGAATACGCTGAGGTTATTACAAAATAATATATTTCTTTCAAGAACAGTAATTTGAACCAAACGATCTTTAATTCCCTTATTATCAAAAGTTAGAATGCACAATTGTGGCTACTATACTTTCGCCATTAAGTAATTATTTTTAAGTATGAAGTATTTGCAAACTGAACCCTTCAAATATGAACAATCTAAATATTGATTTTAAATCTATAATACAGTTTCCATTAACCTCGGATTGAGCACATTATATGCATGGATTAGCTGCTTTGAATGCTACCTTCATATAAGTTATAAAACTGATTAAAAAACTGTTAAAAAAAAAGAATACTGTTAGAATTGATTAAAAAACTGATTAAAAAAAAAAGATTACTGTTCAATAAAAGATGAAAGGTCACTTAGATTTAATTGTAGATGTACCAAAAAGCAGCAGTTCAGGTACAACAAATGATGTAAACATGGAACGAAAAGTATTCCGAAACTATAAGTTGTCTGATGAAATACTTGGCTCAGATAAAAATCTTAAGAAACATTTCTTCATAATTCTTTGTGTTTTATGCAAACATCAAATTAACACTGATAAACTTGAAAAATATACCAAAGAAACAACAGAGCATAGTTCTCAAGTTACAAATAAACCAGTATCATTAGGTCTTTTTTTCGAGGAAGCTAAGGAATGTCAAAATAAAGACGCTAAAAATTATAGAGAACACTATACAAGAAAATATTCAAGAAAAGTCAAAAATGAAGATGTTAAGCAAAGATTATTTTGCAGTTCAGATCCAATTATTTGCTCTTTAAGATGGACTTCGAGATGTATTAAAGAACTTGAACTTAACAAAGATTGTATTAAACTTTTGCTGTAACTTTTTTTTAATTTTAAGTTTTGTAAATTTTTACTCTGATTTCTGACAAAATAATAAATTAATGTTTCTTTGTTTACAAAAATGGGTCTAACACGTAACAAACATTTTCATTAAATAATTCTTCGAATCTAAAATCCCTATAAAACCTTTTCCATAAGGGTGTTTAAGGTGCCTGTATCTCAAAGAAAAAAAGGAAAAAAAGGATTTTTTTTTAAAAAAAGATCTTCATGATGACTAAAAATTTTAATTAAAATTTTAGTCACAGATAAAAATTTTAATTTGACAACTTTAAAAATGAAGGAGTTATGATTATTTGTCCATTTTATGTTGATCTTGGCCCACTGTGCGTTGGAGATGTTCATTCTCTTAAATAAAAACAGAATAATTAACACTTGCAAAGTAAATGATCAAAAAGATAGCTTGACTAATAATTACAAATTTTAACAATTAAGATATTTTTGTAGTCTGAGATATTTTTAGTTTTTCTATCACAATTTGAGAGTGACTTTTCACTACCTTAAAAAAATTAATAAAACTGCAAGTAAGAAAAAATTTATATTATTTTAAAAATGATTGATGATAAAATTTTTAAATGATTTTAAGTTTATAAAATAAAAACTGATAGGGTGATTTACAAGATGATTCATCACTTTCACTATTCAAATTTTATGTCTCATATTAGATATTTTGAATTCTAAAACACCAACAAGGCCAAAAAATCTTTTATTTGAACTGAAAAAAATTTTTTTGCATGGTCCAATAATTTGTAACTCAAAAAACAACCAACAAATATTTTCATTATGCTTCAAAAGATATTTTTTAAATATTTATTCTTATTCATTAAGTTCTGTTACCAATATTAAAACTGTTTATTCAATTCAGGTTATTGGAATCATCATGTCTCTGTTACGAATTTCTCTAATTATTGCTCCTGTATCTCAAATATGGCATACTCCCATGTTTACCTTTATTTTAAATCCTTCATCACTAACAGATCTCAACTTTTGTTAAAAGCCTACAATGTTTACAAGCGACCTGTATTAAAATCTTGTATTCCAGTTTTGAGCCCTCACAATTCGAAAGATATAAACTGCATAGGAAAAATCCAAATTTATTTTACCAGATTTAATAACAAAAGATGTCATACTGCATAGATTTGTTATTTAAAATTTTTTTAAATTTAATCTTTCTATAACTTGTTAAAATTGTGCATAATCTTGTTGATTTATAAATATAAACGCAGAGTTAAATTTAATCTTTCTATAACTTGTAAAAATTGTGCATAATCTTGTTGAGATATCCTTTGCTGATTTTTTGCTTTTTTTAACTCAAAATATTTAACAAGTCAATTACAAAAATTTAATCCACGTAATAAATACACTTATTAGATACAAATAAATAAATACTAGAAGATTTTTTACAGCAAAAGAATTATTAAAGTATGAAAACTCACATCAGAAAACATAGCGAACTTGCCTTCACTGTCTGCATTCAAATCTACATTGGTATTGTTCAAATTATAAACCAGTTTACTTCAGTTTACTATTGTTCGTATCGGCATTTTATTATTAGTGGTGTTAAATCAGAGTAGTTTAGCAAGTACCTGCATCACTTTTTTGTATTACATACAATTTTCAAATGCAAATAAATAAAATTGTACCTCTGGAAAAAGCAACTCTTAAACTCAACAATTAAAAGAACATAGAAAGCAGGTCAAGAAGTAAGGAATCATTATTAGAATCAATTAAGTTTAAACTCAAAGCGTCAAAACATTCAACTGCACAATGTGATGGTAAACTGGTTCTAGACTATGAGAGAGAAAACAAGGAATGATGAATTATTCTGGAATCTGGCATGTCATAATAGTCATAGATGAGTATTTGACTTTTTGAAAATCCTGGAAATTTTTTTCAGTGAAAATTCGGGAAAATCCTGGAAAATTGTTTAATAAAAAATTGATCGTTTTACAGTGTTATTCATTTTTATATGCGCAATTATATGCGAGTCAACTATCCATAAAATCTCTAATATAATTTAATATAAAAAATAAATAGGCTTTTAAATTTTTACATTGATATATTAATAATAATTATAAATAATTAAATTTAAATCTATATAAATGAATAATTAGATATATAATAATTTAATCAATGAAGAAATGTAATAAAAATAAACAAAGACCTGATACTAAATTTAATAAACCATCATCGAATGTAATAAGTCTTCGTTTTAAGTATTTTTAACCTCGTTTACCAGGAAATAAGAAAAATTTGTTTTGAAAAAAGGAAATTGTTTTTTCAAAATAAAATGCTTAAATGATATTTTTTTGTTCTTATTGCTTTTTTAAAACGCATAAGAATGAAACGCATATAAAATTGAAAAGACGCGCATATAAAAATGAATAACCCTGTAACAGACAACAAAAACTTTCGTAAACTTTATAAAACAGAATTTAAAATATTTAACTTTTTACAAAAAGGAATTTCTAATATTCGAAAAAGTTAATTTGAATGAATTAAAAAGCAAAAAATAAAAAAATAAATATTGTTACGAAAATTGATCTCGTAAAATTTTAATTATAGAAAACATTTGTTTAAATGCCAAAGTTGTCGAATTTTATATTTTATGTAAAAATATATAAACTTTTTTTTCAAATTAATAAGAAAAAACATCCGGAAATTTTGGAAAATCAAAAGTGAATTTCCGGAATTCCGTGACTTTCTGGAAAAAAATTATATATGAATAGTATAAAAGTGAAGCTTGTGTTTGACTGAAAAAGCTGTTTAGCCAAAAAACATTTCTAATGGCTTTTCAACAACATTTACATGAAAGAATACAGAGTTTAATTAACAAAGAATTGTTTGGTACTAAAAACACCAGCTTCATATAAATTAGAGATTCAATTTGGCCAAATATTAACACAGAAGCTGGGTTTAGGACCCTAAAAAACAAAGCCGAAAGTTTGTTTATCTATGCAAAACATTCACTAAAGAGAATACTTTCTAACAAAAATTGGCTGCCTTATGTTGACTATCAGAAAATGCAGAATTGATGATGATATTTCTTGGTGAAAAACTTGAACAAAAAATGCATTAGGTGAAACCAGGAGCAGCTCATCATGCTAGATGGGTGCCATCAATTTTGTAACCCTCAAAGATATTGGCTTTTAGTTTTCAATCAGGATATGACCTGGGCATGAATAAAAAACTTGAAGCAATATGCAAACTTGATGTTCTTTTCTATGTTAAAAACTGACATTGCTCATCCTTTTGGGTCAATGCACAGTGACATGCTGGCCCCATAGGCTATGCAGGAATCCTGCTTGGGCTTATCACTATTTATCCCACAAGGGCCTTTTTTAAAATTTTCATCGAGCATAATTGGATAAATTTCAGATATATAGGCCTTTTTGGAAAAATCCCGCATAGACTTTTTGGAGTCAGCACACCGCTGTCAATGCAATTTAAAATGATCTCAAATTATGGCATGACATAAAGAATTATTGTAAACATGATTTACAAATTGCAATTGCAGCTTTAAAAGCAATGGAAAGACACTTATTTGAAGAATGTGCATTGTTCTCTCTATTACAAATAGACTTTGCTCTTTAGAACGGCAAATAATTGCTAAATGAGCACAACTAGATTGTGTTGCATAGCAAATCCAAGATTTTTTAATAAATTATTTTTCTATAGTTTTCTAAAAAATGTTGAAGTAAATTAAAATAAATATAGAAATGGTCTGCATTGAATAGACAAAGAGCCATTGCTTACTGTTTTAGACAGCTAGTATATATTATTTAAAAAAAACACAATAATGATGTTGATAATGATGTCATTCATTTAATAAAAAAAAAGAAATATACAATTAAGTTACAAAGACCAATAAAAACTAAAAATTTTCTTTCTTTCAAAAAGGGTACGATTGTCTCCAGGACAAGTACATTAAAAACATAATCATTAACCTAAAAAAAAGTAGCATTATATATGCTCTAAGAAAAATATAATCATTATCTTAAATCATGTATAGCATAAAAACTATGAAAGTAAAGTAAGCAAGTATAAAAGCTAAATAAAAATGCCATAAAAAAAAAAAGCTTTCAAAGTAAACTTAGTATAACATTTATTCCTAAGTTTTGTGCTTCGTATATTTCTTTAAATGTGCTTGGTATAAAACAAAATTTGCTTACATAATTATATAAATACATTCTTACTGCTGCTTACCTTGACAGAATTAAAAGATTTATCTAATGAAATATACAAATCATGTTTCTGATCATCACTAATTCTTGATCACATAAATTATGGGTGGATGGATAAAATTATTCTTTTTGAGATGAAAATGTAGAATACAACTTTTAAAAAGAAAACATTTTTAGATTCAATAAATCAATATGCAATATATTGAATATAATGCTATATATAAAAATATGTTGGGCTGGAAAATAAGTTCATAGGGTTTTTATATATATATATTTTTGTTTTACAATTATTTCTTTGTTTTATAATTATTTTTTTGCTGTTTGACAAAGCTTATAACATTCATTCAATAGAATCCTGACTGCTCTACAAATCTGTTTTAATTGTCTTTTTGAATAATTTAAATTTTATTTACATTTTAGGCTTAGAAATGGAAGTTCCAGGAGATAAAATTTAACAATTTTAACATCAGCTCATCTTTGGTTTTTATCAAGGCCAAAAAACTGCCAAAGCAGCCCAATACCTTTAGGGAGAAGGTATCGTAGACAAGCCTACATCATAAAAAGAGTTTAGAAAGTTCAAAAAAAGCAACATTAACATTGAAAACTCACCCTGCAGCAAAAGATTTTTGAATTTGACATTAATTGTACTTTTAAAGAAGAACGATCGCCAAACAAGCTGTGAATTGGACAAAAAAATGAACTGCAGATGTAAAATGATTCCTAATCATTTGCATTGGTATATACCAAAAAATTTGGAGTTTGGATGTCTTATGAACTTGAGAAAAACAACAAAGAAAATCCCCTCAAAATTGCTTTTCAACATCTTACCCCCATCAAGCAACACGCAATTCATAAATAATTTATACAGAATTCTTATGAAAGATATACATCTATAGTCTATAAATATGTATGAAGCAAAAAAAAAAGAAGAGGGTTGCTACAGAAGATACGCTAGAGTCAAGAGTCAATACTGTACTCTTTCCAAAGTAGACTATGATCTGCTTTTGGTTGGACTGGTATGGTATGGTGTACTGGGAAATAATCAAAAGGAATGTCAAAATCACCAGGGAGCTCATTATATACTCTGGCTGAAAGAGTCTATGCGACAGAAAAGATCCCATTACCAAACCATACTCATTAACAGCAACACCAGGTCATGTTGTACAAAACATCAAACCTGCATTCTAACCTAAATGGGAAGTCCTTCAGCATCCCCAGTATTGATCTGAAAATACACACGGATGGATTACTATCTTTTCCGCCTTCTGTCAAACCATCTGAGGGGCATTAATTGTAGTAAAAAAAAAAGACATGGCTAAATAAATTCTTCCATACCAGATCAAACATCATCAATTTTTTGCAGAATGACATCAACACATTAGTTGAGGGATCATAAACATAATTGATTAATTGAATGTTACTATTTATGACTTTCATTCAAAATTTTGATAAAAATGCTTCAAACTTTTTACCCAACCCAATAGAACAATATTTGTTAATATAAATTAATTTATATCAAAAATGCAATAAATTAAATAATAAATGCGTATTTTAAAACTTGTAAATAAGAAAACAATTTACTTAAAAAATATTTATGTAGATGTTTGAGTGAGTCGATTTTCTTTATTTTTTCTTTATTGCTTTCTTTTTTGTATGCATAATAACATTTTTAGAAACACAACATATATAAATAATAAGCAAAAACTAATAAAAAGAAAGATACAATAAAACAAACAAAATGAGACTGAATTAATAAATTAGTAATTCAGATTCAATACTCTTTATTTTATCTCTATTTTTTTTTTTTCATTAAACAATTTAAAATAGTAAAGTTTAGATTGCTATTAAATAAGAATAAATGCATACCTGCGCTAAACTTACAAACAATATAGCCAACACCAATAAGAACTCCATGACAATTGATGTCAATTACTTTTTACGAAATGGGCATGTTGTAAGTATTTCTTTATTTTTTTAAACCACAACCACACAGTTAAGTTAATATTTAAAGCTCAAGAAATATCAGAAACATAAAAAACCAAATTAAAGTTTTTACTTGGGCATTTTATAACATTTTTAAAGACTACTACAAAAAAATAGTATCTGTATAACATTAACTTTATAATTCTTTTAAATTAAAGTTTAATGGCGGTACACAAGGTAAAAAGTTAAACAGATATTGCTAAATGTTGCAATAATTAATTTTCTTATGTTGGTGTTACAATGACAAACTTCCGAGTTACAGAAAAATGTATTTATTATATACATTGTTTCTGTAACTTCGATTTTCATTATTGCAACTTTTAGCATTAACAGTTTAACTTTTTTTCATGTTTCCTACCATAAAAATTGCATTTAAAATTCATATATATATATATATATATATATATATATATATATATATATATATATATATATATATATATATATATATATATATATATATATATATATATATATATATATATAACGGGTCACAACTAAAATTTTGCCCAAACTTTGGGATAATGTCAATAAAGATCTGCTTTGTGTATATTTTTAAAATTTTAACATTATATACTCAAAAGCATTCTCTATTCAAATATATTTTTAAATAGTTCGTATGATTTGTAGTTCAAAAAATATCATGCTATAATGTATGAAGATCTAAAATCCATTTTGTATAAATACTATCAAAAAAACCATGTATTGGGGCTAAAACATATTTTTGATAAATTTATCAGCATGGGAGCTCCAAAAAGGACTTTAAATCATTGGCTTAACATGCTGGAACAAAATAAAGTACTAACTAGGAAAAAAAGGAAGCGGTCCTCCGACCACTATAGCGACTGCAAACAACATAGGTAAGATGAAAAATTTCTTCAATCATCGGAAGGGCTGCTCAGAAAAGAGTAGCTAGCAAGCTAAAAACGACTCAGCAATACGTTTCAAAGATGCTATTGCAAAGAACAAATATCAGATGTCTAAAACGCACCGTCAAACCAAAGATGACAGCCTTACAAGTCAAGTTAGCAAGGCCAAAGTGTGAAGACTTTTCCTCAAATTTCGTGATGTCGATTTTAT